TCACTAAGCATCGACACTACAGAGCTCTATTGTCACGGTGAGGGAGCGCAGCCGCCTCGCGAAGAAAACCGCTGACAAGGTGATTGCACAATTAATTGAAGAACAATGTGCCAACAATTTTGCTGGCACTACTGAGATAGGGATAGGGTATACTAAGACCTTTTGGATGGAACAGTAAACTCGTTTATTGAAATTATAAAGAAGTACTTCAGGAGTGAATTGACAGGAGACCTACAAACAGTCAATGAGTGTGCACTAAAATCTGCTCTGCTGTCACTAATTCCATTCAGTGGTCAGGTTTCTGAACTCTGTCTCATGGCAGATTCAAGGAAATGTTATGGTGAAGGGTGTTACAAATTCCCTGATCTTAATCTCTTTGTTGCCAAATGCTCGATTTTGGATACCCAGACTCTGAGTATTGTTGTAGAGCTGAAGCTCTTTCCCTCTTGGGTTTGTTAAGTGGGGAAGCTGGATCCTGGTGTAGCAACTTCACTGCATCACAGCTAGACAATTTCAACAGAAACCTTGAATCAGAAGGAGAAGGGGCACTGTTGAAGAGGAAATACATCCCTACAACAGAGCAGAGGTGATGTATTGAATAGTGCAATCACACAGCTGGAGAAATATATGTCAATTATTGCAATGGGCCCATGGAAGGAGCTATCAAACACCAAATTTTCAGGTGTCCATGATATACGTGTTGGAGCAATAACCAATAGGATTGGATTTTGGCTGTTGGTACTCGCCGTTTTATAGTACGTCAGTTAGATAGGATTTCCGCGAACGTATGCTATTATGTATTGCAATCTTAATATGTCCATTTATTCAATCGTTAATACACATAGCCAATTCATTGCTATGCAGAATAGAAAGGCTTGTTGGGTTTTTTGTCCGTAAGCAATATTTCTTTCTAAGAGGTTTTTAAACTCCCGGGTTTTAGTTTCCACGGTGCTACTCCCAGAAATGTGATAATTAATATCCTCGGCATCGATTTGTGTGTTTGATAAGCCAATTAAATTCTATCACTCAAAATACAATACTATTACTATGATGACATTCCTAATAATCTAAATGCCCGCTTTTATGGTAAACCCTAACTGATGCAACCATCACCTGACAATTTATAGGCTTTACTATTTACATCAAACCGTACAAACCTTGACTTCTTCCCTTAGCTCAAAGTTGGAGTAGCATACCCCCTGTAATAAGTATTCAAGACGGGACTTGTCAATGTTATCTATAAGATTTTTATTTCATATAGAGAAGATCGTAGTAACTCATATCGATATTAAAAATAGGATTAAAAACCCTTTGATATCGCGCCATTCCTACTGCGGATCAGGACAAGTGAATGGTCCATGTAAAGAAATCACACACATATGGAAATTATTGTTGGAAATTTATTTATAAATTTTTAACCAGTCTGTATAAAGAAGGCCCTTATAAACAGAGTTGACTGTATATCGATAATTACCAGAGAACAAATCATCAATAACGTATTTCAGAGTATAAGAAAATATTGATTGAACATTAAAGGAACATTAAGGAATATGATGGAATCTAACGGAAAGTCGCTTCTTATACTGCAACTGCTATGCCCTACTGCTAATGTACCCACTGCGAATCTCATGATAGCTTGTGCGGCTGTCACTTTTCACATCAGAATGATCTCTTGTACCAATAAATTACATGATCTTGAAACGATTTTTAACCCTGTTCTCAGAGCGGGTCAAATCCCGGAACTTCGTAACAGAATAAGTGAAAGTTGGCAGCGCTGATCTTAGAGGCCTCGTGTCACCATCGGAGCTGCGCAGAAATTTAGAGAGGAACATATGATTTAACAGTCTTCATAACAGTCTCTACTATAAATATGAAATAATAGTGAAAACCAATTCACACAACCCATATAGAGAATATTTTCTGTTACTTTTAGATGTGACTTGATAACGGATAATTATTGTATGTTCACTTGTCCGATTTTCGAATACTGATTGATAGAGCTGATTACGAAAAAAACTGATCATGCGATAATGAAAGATAACAATTTGTTCCTATCACTCGTACATATGGCAGATCGGGTAACAAAACGACGAATCAGACAATTGTAAAAAAAAAAGTGTTTATGATTTTGACATCTCGGGCGTTTCTAAGCTAATGGAATGCCCGTTGAATTTTTACGACTTCTTGATCAACAATTATTATTATTGGGCGTATATGGGAATTTCCGCTCGTGTTACATTAGTTGTATGCAGGATGATTAAAGTCAAGAAAAAGAAAAGATACTTCCAATGGATTATACTTTAAAAGCATCAAATATTAGTCTTCATCGAGCTCTGTGTGAACAAGGTAAAGGCAAAAAAGATATACATATTAGCTTCGTTTTTTTTCCACAAAAATGGCTTCAGTTTGCAAATAATGTCGAGTCGCGTCACCCTCAGGGAGTTGCAAGAACCCTGATTTGGAAACTGATAGGCCTTAGAAAATAATCCTCCTGCCAGGTCGTACAGGCTCAAATATTATCTTTTCATTGGACGCTCAGATAGCCACTCCTCCATAAATAGGAATACTACGTGTCGGGATGTAGGTAGTGATTACACAATCACAGATCTGCAAGTATAAAATGAATACATTCCACAAGGATAAATAAAATAACGCCTCCCGGACCTGCGCTTCCTAGCCACCGATACTTCCTTTGCTTCTTCACGTACATTTCGAGCTGTTATGACTTCGTTAACATTAGAAACTATCCCACCAGCACTTCCACTAAACGAACGTTTTTCCTCGCTTCGTCGTTGGTACCAGCGAACGGAAAAAACGTCCGAAGCAGCCGAAGCACGTCTGTTATCAAGACTCGCATTTTTTTCCCTCGACGGCCAGAAAACGACTGGTAATCCAGAAAATTCAAAGACGATTGCCAGAGTAGGATTAGTTGATCTCGATGGCGATGGAAAGAGAAAAATAAACACACTTTCTATCGATCAGATGGGTAATGATTTCATAATAGGAAGAGATGGACTACAGACATCATCACTGTCAGAACCAATGGTCGATGCCCAACTGGGATTTACTGCCGAGCCACAAACACAGGTCGATGTACAGAATCAACATACAAACATACAATCACCCTCAAGCACACAAAAATGTCTTGTCATGTGTCATGGTTTTGGAGCCGGTCTTGGTTTCTTCTATCGTAATTATCATTCGCTGTCTCAGGTGCCTGGGTGGAAGATATATGCCATCGACTGGTTAGGTATGGGCAGATCATCCAGACCAAAATTTAATATAAATGCCAAAACAGTCGACGAGGCAGTCGACGAAGCTGAGAGTTTCTTCGTTGATTCGTTGGAGAAGTGGCGCGAGATTCACAAAATCAAGAAGATGACTTTATTGGGTCATTCACTTGGCGGATATCTGGCAGCTGTGTACGCATTGAAGTATCCCGAACGGGTAGAGCGTTTAATTCTCGTATCTCCAGTCGGAATACCAGAGAATCCAAGTCCCACCGGCGAAGCTTTATATCGAGGTGGTCAAAAGATTTCCAGCTGGATTGTTCGTTTGTGGAACGCGAACATCACACCGCAGTTGATGATGCGCTTGTCTGGCCCGTTCGGTCCGTCACTTGTAGAATGGTATACCTCTACGCGGTTTAACCATTTGGAAGAACGGGATCGGATTGATTTATACGATTATTTGTTTCAGATATCGAGTGCATCAGGAAGCGGGGAATATGCCTTGAATAGGATACTGTCGCCTGGGGCATATGCTAGGAAGCCGTTAATTAGGAGATTGAAAAATTTGAAGATGCCGACCGCTTTTATATGTAAGTATTGAACCCGTCATTACGATGGGGAGAAGGTGTGCATTTCAAGATGTCTCGTTTCTTAACAACGTATCGCTATTTGTGTTTGGTAGATGGTATGCATGATTGGATGGACTATCGTGCAGGAGAAGAAGCAAGGAAGACAATGAGCGTCCCTACAAAATTAAAACGCATAAGTAGTGCTGGACATCACTTATATCTAGACAATCCCCCTGAATATGATTATGCCATTGTAGAAGAGATGCTTGAACAACAGCGTATAGACTCGCAGAATTAGTTTGACAAACAAATCTGATATCCTTATTACAAATGAACAATACGATTTGGTTTGCTTCACGTACAATGTGGATTGCATTTGATACGAAATTCGAAATTTGCTTTTTTAATTATAATGTACTTGACACAAATAAAGAATAAAAAGTAGTTATGATGATTCGCAAAAATCTTGGCTTTCTTGAATAACTGCTTTGGCTATGAGAATGAGAATGTCTTGCAATAACAATAGATTTTATGATGTTGTTTATTACCTTTATTACATACCTTTTTAGCTTGCTCACAATTTGATTGCGGTTTACAGTATGTATGTATGCTATAAAAAATTGTTGATGAAACTAGCCTGATTTCAAAAACAACAATGACACCACCCAAGTTAATGTAAGCATAAACAATTGTGAGAAAGTGCTTTTTCATATTCCATATGTAATTATAAATATAGACTAAAACGTTGATGTAATATCTACATCTACGAAAGACTCTTGTAATCATCAAACGGCGCTACTAATAGTAATTTGGTGCTAGACATACTGATTGATTTTCATTCCTCCTCGAATATACACAAAATGCTTCACGTGAATGTGCCCGTTTAGTTATTATCAACCAATCACAAACATACTTTCTTCCCTATCCTCATCCGCCGCAGCCAAGTTCACTGCACTTCACCACAGAGATATTGTCACTTATATGACTACGAAATTCTCCAACTCCCCTTCATCTCGACCATCGACACCATCGTACGTAGGCTCTCCAAGTCCGAATGATATCACAGTTGGGTATAAAGTCTATGTAGATGTGAACAAAGATGCCAAAGATCATAACGAGGCTCGTAGAGCGGAAATATTGTCTGTCAGGAATAACAATGGGCACACGGAATACTATGTCCATTTTATGGAATTCAATAAACGTCTCGACGAGTGGGTATCTATAAATAGAATAGACTTCTCCAGAGAAATTGAACGCCCTTCGTCAAAAAAACGAGCCAAAGGTGGTCTAAGAGAAACCGATTCCTCTTCCCCAAATCATAATGGCAATCGTACTCCAATTCCTGTCTCTAAAAAGCGTAAGATATCCTCCCTCGACGATCCATTTACGCCTCAGTCTGAGGACGCCGATGTTGATGCATCACCGGGTACGCCTACTCCTGCTGTATTCTCCAAAGAACAAGAGATCGAAAAGCTACGTCACTCTGGATCTATGACGCAATCATTCTCTGAGATATCTCGTGTGAAGAATCTGGAAAGGATACATATTGGAAAGTACGATGTCGAGACGTGGTATTTTTCGCCGTTTCCAGCCGAGTTTGCTAATGCTTCGGTTGTTTATATTTGTGAGTTTTGCTTATACCATTTTATAAGTGAGCAGCAATTGAAGAGACATTTACAAAAATGTACAGTGCTACATCCTCCAGGGAATGAAATCTATCGCCAGGGTGATTTGTCTTTCTTTGAGATCGACGGTCATAAGCAGAAAACTTATTGTCGTAATCTATGTCTATTGTCTAAATTATTTCTTGACCATAAGACTTTGTATTATGACGTTGATCCGTTCCTTTTTTATATAATGTGCAAGAGAGATAATAAGGGTTGCCATATAATTGGATATTTCTCAAAAGAGAAAGAAAGCGGTGAAGGATATAATCTCGCCTGTATTCTTACATTGCCTCAATATCAACGCCAAGGTTATGGGAGATTATTAATATCATTTTCTTATGAACTGTCCAAGAAGGAAGGGAAAATAGGATCACCTGAGAAACCACTATCTGATCTTGGTCTTTTGTCTTATCGAGCTTATTGGACAGAGATTGTCGTTGAGCTGCTTCTTGAGGTTAAGGATGCAAATGAGGATATCACTATTGAAGATATATCCAGTAGAACGAGTGTGTCACAATCAGATATATTACAAACATTACAAACATTAGGTGCTGTTAAACCATACAAGGGGCAACAGATTATTTTGTTATCAGAGGGGCTAGTAGCCGCGTATGAGCGGAGTAAAAGGAAGAACAAGAGAAAAATCGATGAGAATTGTTTACAATGGACGCCTCCTCAGTTTACCTCTAACCAATTGAGGTATATTTAAAGTCAACTGAAACTGTATATTTGGTATAGGAGGTAATGTTTAATATGGCTGCTGCCAACAAGATATTTACTGTGCAGAAATCTGCCAATTATAATTAAGAATGTGCTCATATAATCTGTTTTTATGTGTTAATGTATTATAGGGTGCATTTAGTATTAGACTTATAATGACATCATTTTTGGGACATAGTAAACCTACTGGTAATAAAGTGAATTATTTATTTCAAGTTACATGTGCTAATCTGAACGCGTTTGTTTGTTATAGTCATACAGTCGTACCCCTTTATAAACACCTCTTAATAGTCACAACCCCCATGTAGTCACATTTTTTGACCTTTAGGCAACATTTTGACTAGCCCGTCCATGGAAAGTAATTTAATAGTTTCTTCACTTCACTTGATAAAAAAATGTCACAGAAAATAACAAGAACGTCTAAAATACATTGACCGAACGACTATCAGTAAAATAATAAATAAAAAAGATAAGTCATTGGTACATTCTGCGTACAGGGGAACAATAGCTACGTTGTGAAAAGGGTCCTAATATACTAATACGTACGTCATTGATTAAGCCACTGATCAGCATATATTAGATCATATCGCGCAACACGTCCTCTCATCGAAAGCAAACTTTACAACAACCATTCAACAGGCATACCAGGACGCCAACAAGGAGTACGAAGAAGTGAAGGGGCAGCTGAAGAGGCTGCGTGAAAGGATGACCTTACTGACAAGGAAAAGAGATATTGCTGGCTTTGCTGAAGGCGAGCTGAAGGTGAAGGAGGAGTACTGGATGAAACAAGTGGGCAACTTGCAAGATGCACTCGCAGCATCAGCCACTTCAGCAGGTAACGACTTTGTGACTCGGGCGTTGGGGACATAGAGTAGTGTGTACATAGGGTAGAGTAGCTGTAGTAATATGTCATGAATTTGTTAGTGAATGGTATTACAACATACCAACAAGTGTTATTCCCTAATGAGGCAAAAGAAAGGATAAAAGTAAATACTGGTTATAATCTGCAAATGCAGAGGTATATAAAAGACTCAAGCAACAAAACCTTATAGATTCAGAGGTACATACAAAGGAACAAGTCTACTATTGGACATTGGTTTGTAAAAAAAATACTTACATTATGAATCAGGAGAATCAGCTTCTCTCAGCAAAAATGTATCTTGAACAGCCAACGTTTTCTGAAAAAGGCTTCAAACCACTTGATTACACAGAATAACGATAAGAAAACGACTTCGGATTTACTATGCCTTTATTTGGAATTATTGGTGCTGAAGATGTAACAGAAGTTATTATAGTAAACGCTAATTGTGGAGGCTATGGTATGCCTATTTATTGCATACAGTCAACAGCCTTTAATATTAATTCGTCCCTCTTTAATTCGGATTTTCATAATCCGGACGCTTGATGCCGGACTCGTTTTTTTCATATCAAATTCCTTCCTTTTATTCGTCCATAATTATGAAATCTCAATAATTCGGTTCGGACAACTGTAAGTGATCAAACTGTATAAATTAAGTATTGTAAAATCCAACTATTGCAGATCATTTCCCATATATGTAATAATTTCTCGTTAATTCGGACGCTTATCGTTATTCAAATTTCCTTCCTTTAATTCGGATGCTTAATATTAATAACATTCAGCCGTCCAAATTATGAAGAGTTTTATGGATCGTTCCAAAAGCAATCTGGTAAAAAACGTCCCAAACCCTACACACATCTAATTAAGAAAGTCTTTATCGTTTCTTGAACAACAGGATAACGATAACATTAATATTCGTGTAGATGATTTATCAGTCGTTCGTCGACTAATTAGTCAAGTTTCATATTATTATTATCGTAAATTACACAATAAATTTTGTGGTGGTTTTTTGTCACACCATGAATCGATAATTCGTCCATTCGGACAACGGAAAGAATTAAAGGCAGTTGTATCTTTGTACTTACGACAGCACCGATTAAATCCTGAAAATGAGACTCAAACTCGAGTTGCAGTACTACGAAAGTTTTTTTCGAGCCTTAGACGTGACGGACTTAAGCCTGTATTTGCTTTATTAAACAAAGATGTAGGAGAATCAGTGAGGCATGGTCATGGATTACAAACATTCAACTCTGTTATTGGCATCTTGAACATTCCATCGAAAGGATAAGAAATCGGTGAGAACGTACACAGCAACCAAGGTCTTGGAAGCAAACCGAATTTTAAGTTTTATTGATTCCACGGGATGACAATAGTCCTCTATGTCGGGATGAATTTGTAAAGGAAATACAGTTAAAAAACATGCAAACACGCATCCACAAACAAAAAACACTTTCCTGAGTTCAGCCTCTTCCCCCGAACCAAACAATCTCGACAATATTCTAAGCGACATGAGTCTTAAAGTGGATTCTATTCATGATATCCTTACCATACACCCTCCTTCGATAGACAATATACATCGCCACAGATCTATCGATTCTGTCGTTCACGAAATCGTGTGGACATGTTGGTATAACGAAAAAGATTGGAAACTGTTCGCCCGTTCTTCCTATTCGGCTGCCATGCCGTTGGCATGTACAATTATGATTACTGAGAGTCACTGGCGAGTTCTTAAATATAACTACAAATATAATCACAACAGACCCCGACTTGATCAACTCACCCAAATTTTAGCTGAGCAGCTTATTCCTGACTTTGGATTTCCAGCTTGGTGGCAGAATTTCAAAAAGAGCTTGCAATGGCTGATGTTGGAAGATAGATATCATGTTGACATTAATAACTGGGTGTGTTCGTGCCCTGCATACTTAAATAGTCGGTATCTTCTCTGTAAGCATCTTGTGACTAAAAAGAATGGCAGACTATTCATGCCTACATACACTGAAACAATACGCCGACATGATTATCCGTTTCTTATCTTTAAAAGGATAATCTTCCAATCATTAATCCAATGAACAATCCTTGGGTCAGATTAAGAGACGACACAGATGAAGAAATTAAGAGGATTTGAGCTCAATGATTCAGCAAGATACCAGACTTACAGAGAGACATCAACAGCTTGCTGTATATAGAAGAAAATTTGAGAGTGCACTAACACTATATGAACGAGAGATAAAACAATGACAATTTTTCGTTAGAAATTATGTGTTGATGAGACCCATAATTAAAGCGGTCAATGAATGTGAAGAAGCTTTACAAGCTCGTAGTCAACAGGGTGCCTGGGGTCCAAAAAGTGGAAGGCTTGCGCGTTGATCTTAGAACATTGTTTAAAACCTAATAATAATAAAACGTATTATTATTATAATATATGCGTGTGATATGTAATACAGTCTGGAATCGCATATAATAGGTTATATCAAAAACTCCCATAATAATAATAATCTGTACTCTGATAGTATTGCTGAAGTCTAAACATTATAATTCGAATGAACATCTCATTAATTATCCAATGCTGGTCCTCATGAATGATTAATTTTCAGAAAAATTTCACTAGGCCAGAAATAACATACTGTTACGGTTCGCAATTATTCGGGTTGGGAATGCGTTAGTTACGTAGACCTTATTTGAAAACAGACCTTAACTCGGAATATTGTCCTTACTACAGTATATTGCTCAGTTAAGGTCTGAGCGACTAATTATTTATTGCAATACGAATAACGTAGATTTTTCAAAGTAACCTGCGAGTCTGCTCTCGAATGCAAGTCAATTCTATGGGGACGATATCTTCAACATCTAGTCGCTCTCATTTTACCTGGTTCACTATACTATTCCAGTCTGACAGACTGTAAGTTCAAATTCTGAATGGGAATTTTAGCCAAGTCAGCAAAAGGAATTAAACCAGAAATAATGAAGCTTATTCCTTGGCACGTAGTATTGTTAATTTACATTTACGTGGCATGATAGTAATAGGCAATGAAATATATTAAACGGGGTTATCTCCTTTCAATAATTGAAGAACGGTTATATTAGATTAGTATTAGGTTTTATTTGTTCCTCCGGAAATATTAACGCTTGTTGCCAATAACTATCAATGCTAAATTGGATGGCTACACGGCCACAAAATTATTGCCACGAAGAGCTTGTACTATTCACATCTATGAGACTCCATGATTTATTTACAAAGCCGTATTTCCATCACATACTCTACATTCTTCCTTTCCACTATAGCTGTCCTGTTCCTCCACTCCAAATCATATAACCGTTCACCAACCATAAGTATCGGCAAATTAGTACGATAGAAGTCTCTTCCAGTCAGCGTGATTTAGAAGTTGCAATGATAAGAGCTGAGATAAGCATGACAGGTGCTGTGAGGAGAGCTAAAACCGCTGCAACTATTGGAGCAATACTAGGGAGCCTAAGCGATTGCCCAGGTATTGTGCTGGGATCGTCTGTGTTCGCGGACGATAAGATGAACGTATCTTTTTGATCTGTTATGGGCAGAGCTGGTGGAGATAAATATGTCAGAGGAATGAACATACTAAGAGACGAATTCAATTATGTGCACACATACCTGCACCATGACTGATCATACATAGTGTTAACAATAACATGCCCAGCACAACTCTATAATCAAGCATGGTTTTTATATTTGTCCCAGCGTAAAAGTGCTCAACACTTTCGACAGGTTGGCTCTTGCTCCCTACACTGGTAAATTTATACTTCTCCACACAAAATTCTAGGAGCAGGCCACAACATACAATTTTGACTCCCCTTGCTGATTATGTATATATTTGTAAAGCATTGATGAAGATGATGCAGGGATTGAGGAGGTGTGAGAGAACAAAAACTTAAAGAGCAGAATAAAAAGTGTATGGAGTGCTATTAATACGACACATGCCCCAGAAATTTTTGCTCACACATTTCCTTATATGTATGTCTTCGCATTCCACAAACACGCAAATCGGAACATTGTTGCGAAACAGTATATATGCATCCCCCTGAGAACACGCCATCGATGAATTCTATTTACTATTACGCAAAATTTTAGTGTCCAATACCGGAAACGACAGAACTTTGACCCTAATGTTCTGACTTTTTTATCAAGCGTTCGGACTTTCTCCGTTTGAAAGGAGCAGAATCGAGTACAGTGTCTATGTCGGATTTTCGCTTAGGACTGGATATTCCTCCCTCGTTATCTTCTTGCTCAGTGGCTTCCCCCTCTTCTGGCTCATCTTCAGAAGATTCCCTGGCTTTTGCTAAATCAAGTTCGCTGTTTGCGTTGTCTTTTTTAATGTCTTCTACCTCCATTAGGCTAGGCTTGATTGAATCTGTGATGACTGAAGTGGAAATACTAGCAGATTCTTTACCTTTGATGGTGTCTTTTATAATTGACGATGTAATCAGATACCCGGAAATTTAACTTAATAACAGAGATCTCTTAGCATACCGTCATCTTCTGACGCACAAAGTTCTGTAACTATTGATCCGAGTCTTTGTACAAGCGCTGCTTGGTATTCCGTTGATTCTATTATTTCTTTCAAAATATATTCTTTTATTTTTTCATCTTCCCGTGCCCTATATACACGAAACCTAGTTAAGTTGGGGTAACCGAGTCGCCCCCGCTCGACAAATGTTTAAAGGAAGACATACTTGTCAAAGTCGTTAAGTAATATAATATGTATTTCTGTTCGGTCCTTGTCTAAGAGTGACGGATCGCCGTCAGTCCTTGATTCAAGCAACGACTTGAGTCGTTCGTTAAACTCTTTGCCTTTTTCCTAGAGCGAATTAATAATATGAGAATAGAAAAGCATATAATCTATTCGAAATTAAAGGTCGCGGAAATTTTGCTTTTGATTACACTTTTCAGAAATTCTTCCAGCAACTCTCTTCGTAATTCATCAAATGCTCCTCTACGTTTAAACTCTGATACTACTTCTTCTGGAGTCAAATGCATTTTCGCAAATATAAAAAGTGTTTCAAGCTACGCGAAGAAAGCAGAAAGACGTGGACAAGCGACAAAAAATAAGTCAAAAGGCCGTTGAATGTGTTGAAAACCCTGAAATCTTTCTGGTGCCCCAAACATTCTTTTCCACGTGCGTCCAATAATGGGTTTTGATCATCAGCATCACGTACTCCCATAAATACCAAAATAAATATCAAAGTTTCTTGATCGCGTCTTTTTATACAATGTCAAAGGTTGAACAAAATTCATCTCTCACTCCTCTTCTTGACGACGATTATGATACTTTCCTTGAAGAAAACGACGACACCACTGCGTTTAGAACTCCTTTTGACAGTCAGCTTCAGAAACTGTTACGACGTGAAACGGAGCTTCGTCTCCGAATTGACGAATTGTTAGAAGAAATTGCAGAATTAGAGGCCATTACCAGAAAGCAGCAACAACAAAAAGAACAGGACGAAGTAAAAGAAGGTGTGCAGAAAAGTGGGCAGGCAGGAGAACCAAATAACAACAAAAGTAAGTCGGCTGTTTATGAACGGTTATAGAAATGTATTTTTTTGATGCTGGCATGATAGAATCTTTTTTCGCTTTTAGAAGGTTCATGGGAAACCTTTCAAGCACCAGAGTGGTGTATTCCGATTAAGGCAAATGTCTTGACATTTGAATGGGATGTAAGTGCGTTCTTTCTTGGGTTCAATTATTCGTGTTTGTATAAATTAAAAGTGGAATAACATGAATACCGCTTTGCAGGAACTCGCAAAGGCATGTCAATTTGACGTCATACTTATGGATCCACCATGGCAATTGGCCACTCATGCTCCGACTCGTGGTGTATATATTACTCTTTTTCTATGTTGTTACCATTCTTTAAATAAAAAGGCCCCATTCAAGGTTTTCTTTCTTCTTAGGTTGCTATTGCATACCAACAACTTCCTGACGTGTGTATCGAGGAGATGCCAATACAAAAACTCCAAGAGAATGGCTTTGTCTTCATATGGGTTATTAATAATAAGTATGCCAAAGCATTTGAGATGATGCGTAAATGGGGTTATACATATGTCGATGATATCACATGGGTCAAACAGACTGTTAATCGAAGAGTGGCAAAAGGTCATGGGTTTTATCTCCAGCACGCAAAGGAAACGTGTTTAGTTGGGAAAAAGGTATATGTTTGCGATGCCGAAATTAGTTACTATATTTGAGATTGTTATTCAATGACTTGAACCATTAAAAAGGGTGAAGATCCACCAGGATGTCAACATTCGATATTATCAGATGTTATCTATTCGGAAAGGCGAGGACAAAGCCAGAAACCAGAAGAATTATATGAAATGATAGAAGGGCTGGTCCCAAACGGTATATGTCTTTATAAATTACATGTCTATTTACCAAAAGATTCATAAACAGTGCCTAAATTTACATGACTTTGATATATGCCCTTTCCTCCAGGCAAGTATCTCGAGATATTTGGCCGAAAAAACAACCTAAGAGATTACTGGGTGACAATAGGAAACGAATTGTGATTACAGAACGGGAGTGACAAAGAAGAGTTGCTCTATGTTCTCATTACGAGCAGTAACTTTCCCGTGGCAGCGGAGGTAAGCAGGTAACTATGACAGAACAAAGAGCTCACCTCTGTCTACCAATCTGGTGGTAACTCTGTCAAACTACAAGGCTTATCCGTATAACGAGCGTTGTAGCGTGCAACTACATCGGGCTCATATAGTCGAACGTCATCCAACTGATTACCAAGTGTCAACCAGCCAGGACGCGTGTTGTGTTGACGTCCAAATATTTCTGTAGATTAAAAAATACTCAATAACACGCAAACTTAAAAGGACAAACTTTCTAATAATAATTATAATTAAATATAATGTAATTACCCAGTTTACGGGTACCGGGTGCTAATCGATCAATAAGTCCATATATTTCATCTGGCTTACGACTAGTTTCACGAACTTCTCCTACCAGTACGTCACAGTCCATGCCAAGGTTAAGTCCCTCTGGGTTTCCCTTGATGCCTACAAGACAATGTTCTTTGCTATGATTCAACCAATGTCCTGTGCGTCCGGTACGAATGAGTCTTTGTAGTTGATTAGTCTTTATCCACACTAACTCGTCAGCTCTGTCGTAACCCCATATGGCAAGACATTCGCGTCCTAATTCCATAGCACGCCCAGTAACCCATAGAAATATCAACCCTTCATCTTGTAAATCAGAAATTGCCATTGCTTTCATTTCATCATCAGTCATTGTGCCATATGGCAGCTGTAAGAGATATAGTAAAATATTATTGCCATGAATTATGTTCGCTTCGGATTATTATGACTAAATTCAACTTACTGTCATGTGTATATCCCATGGAGGATCGGCCATGATGACGGTGAATTTCCCCAGGACTGAAAAATCAAACTTCCTCACGTCACAGTTTATCCATTGCGGTGGAAGAACTTTTGTAGGAGGTGTATATAAAACACTAGGAGGAATTGGTTTCCGTTGAATATATTTCCACTCGACTTCATCTTCATCTAGCTCATAATGAACATATTTGCATGTATCCATACGATGACAAGTATTCAGATACGAGCAGTCGCCAAGGTCTAGATCAGTGTGTGGTTTCAACATCGGCCTAAAATGGACCTGATGACAGTTAAAGTGACAAAAAAGACTTGATAAATAATCAAACAAGTATACCAAGTTAGCAGATTGTTGGTAAGCTTACTCTATGGCATGCTCGCGGAGTCTTCCTGGCTTTTTGGCAATCTGTTTTCGTTCCATATACGCAAAATTCTCGAAAAACATTATTTGTAGAGGAAAACTAATAAAACGTTAGTCAAGAACACGATCATTACATGAAATGGTATCTATTCTTGTATAACATTCTTACTGCATACCGTATCATTAATTAGAATATCATGAACCGATTTTTTGTTGAACGTTTCACATAATTCTTGAAGAGTGCTTTTGTCTTCTCTTTCTTTATAGCTTGGTTTTGACAGTAATTCCTCGATTTCTTTCAAAGCTACGTTTATCGCATGTGACGCGAACGGATAAATTGTCAATCAGGTTTCTTGAACGCAACTTTGACATAAATTAACGTATTAGACTAACATACTTTCATCTGCCACTTCTGATTCCTCATTTTTTCTTTTCTGACCATTGTGAACGTAATTTGTGGTTAATTTAAGAGCAGCTTCAAATGATGCGTTGTCTTCGAGATTAGAAGCTCTATTTTATTAAATATCGAATATTGTTCATTAAATATTAACCAGTTGTTCTGACAATTACAATGTTCCATGGAATAACATCCAAAAAATAATAGGATCAAACGAACCTTTCAAGTATTATCACGTTCTTCAACTTGCCTATGTCCAATCTGATCAAATGCAACTTTCTGCGAGAACCATCTAGCACATCTTTTACTTGGAAAACATTCGGTCCCCATGTTTCAGCTAATGTTTTTAAAGCAGCTTCAAGATTATTAATTGATTTTTCAGAAAATGGTATTCGGAAAGTGGTTTGTCGATTGGTCAGCCTACAAAAAGGAGCAGTGTTAATAATCTAATATACAGATACAAACTCACGCAATACGCCTTTTTACCTCTTTAATATTTCACGAGATTCAAGTGGTAGCGGCAACACAGTGCGAAAAGGTCTTGTAAAATACTCTAAGACAAGGAGTATAAAATCTTGCACCGACGGGATTGGTCTTACAGTATTTGTCGTTTTGGAATCGGATTTTGCAATCAAAGCCGAGTTTTGACCAGAAGAGGACTTATTCGACTGAGCAGAAGTTTGGCCAGGATCACGTAACTTCGTGTACAGAGAACGATTTTTGTTGCGTTCGGTCTTTAACCGTCTGAGTTCGTGAAGTGTGGTATATTTGCGACTCGGCATGTCAACGGGAAGAAGCCAGCCATGGTTTATTATTACAGCCAGAAATTTCCTAATCGTGACAGTTTGTCCGACCAAAGCGTCGTGTAACTTCTCTGTTCATGTAGTAGGTAAATTTAAAAAGTAAAAATAAAAACCGTCATTAATATTAATATGTACAAAAGTGAACATGAATTAAAAACAGCTGGCATGAATGCTGCCAGCACCGGCACGGTATTAATAATCCAGTTTCGGTAATGACTACAAACTCGAGTTAGCGAGGAAAAAACTGTTTCCATAGAACGCTTGAATAATGTGTTTAATTTTCTCGTTTATCCACCCACAGGCTTTAATTGCGGTACAAATACGATATCAACAGTTCGCTCCTTACGTAAAACCTCATGTCAATAATAAGAAACAATCAGAATGTAGTTTGTTCAATAAAAAGGAAATACAGAACACTAATGTCTTGTATAACGATTTTTTTCGTAACTATTATGTTATCGCTATAAAACGGATTCTTGGTAATGACGATAACTCGCTATACAGTCCTGGCCATAAGTAACCGACCCCTCCTAATTCAGGACAGGAATGAGTAAACGTTTGAAAATTTACAGTAAATTTACTATGAAACCTCGTTATAAGTATAGTAAACTTTTTTTAGATTTTGCATAAGTAAAACAATCGCTTGTTTGCAAGTACCGTCATTATCATACTATATGTACTTAGAACGTCTGTACAATACTACTACTATGAAGGACCGTTCTAAGAGGCGATCTATAACTGCATCGCAAAAAAAGCGATTATGTGAAAAGAAAGCTAACAGTCTAGTTTCAACAAAAAACTACGTGCTTGTTAAAGAATTCGGTATTAGCACAGCTCAAGCTAGTCATTGACTTGGAGAAAACATATTGTATGAACAAAGTACGTTAAATCATTTTTATAATTTGAACCAACATTGAGAGAATAAATCAGTGTAGCAGTCGACGGCGTTTATGTAATCGATAAGACGAACACATCGTCAATTGTGCAGTTTCATTTACTTCTTGAGATAAAAAAGTGTTTGTTGATCTATTCTAATTGATAATGGTCAGACTGTATATAAAGAGTTCGCGATATAGCAAATATTTGTTATATCGCGAAACCTCGATACAATAAATCCTCGTTATACACGTAGTAAACAGAAATCCCGACCCGACAGATTTACTATAGCGAGGTTTTGCACTTAAGAGAATAAACCTAGCCATTTTTTTTTACATGGAAATTGCATGCAAGATGTACACGTATGACGCGTAAACACGTGACGTAATATATCGCATTATATCCTGCGACGGGTATATAACACTATGTGACCCCAATGCTTCTGGCCAAGGTTTTCACGCGATGCCAACAATACAGGAGGTTAGTACTTTTGTAACTGTAACATGGGAAACATTAAACGGCACCTACTGCCCGTACGAGCTCCATAGTGTTATGGATTGCGTATGGTCGATGCTTGGCAGGGAATCTTTCAATCAACTTGCCTGGACTCGTTCGGCGTTTGCTGTTCCTCCTGTGCGTGCGTGGTTGAAGACCTCTGACCAGTGCTAGAGGCAATGAATGATATCATCTTTCAATCAACTTGCCTGGACTCGTTCGGCGTTTGCTGTTCCTGTGCGTGCGTGGTTGAAGACCTCTGACCAGTGTTAGAGGCAATGAATGATATCATCTTCAATCAACTTGCCTGGACTCGTTCGGCGTTTGCTGTTCCTGTGCGTGCGTGGTTGAAGACCTCTGATCAGAATATCATTGTTGGGATGCTTTTAACGTGCTCAAAGTCTGTATATTTCCAGTACTAATTCACATGGCATATTCTGCGCGTTCTCCGCTTTGTGTCCAATTCGAAATACATAATGAGGAGACAGAGGAGATGATGTTTGCAATGAAGGCTAAACTGTAGTCGATTAACATGGGTTGCAATATACTGGTGCATGCAAGAGGGAAAGCTACCAAGCTGTTAAACACTTTCCATAAGACAGTGTCGAGTCGAGAGGTACAAAACTGGCTAAAAACGCTGCGCGCAAAGGTCTTTTTTTTTTTTTTTCTTCTTTTTTTTTTTGAGCTTACAGTTGTAATGTTAATACGAAATTTTTGAGTTATAGAGCGAATTGGACTCGGAGCAGTAGCTGTATCGTCAAACACTGATATCAGAAGTCAGGGTCGACAAAAGCAGTGTCATTCAAGATGCAAGGCTGCCCAGTGATGTAGATACCATATTACTATACTGAATCCTTGCATAGTATTAGTATAGGTTTCAGTTTATAATTTCTTTATTATTTTGCAGTAATATTATATGTATAATTTAGGCAATATGGGGCAGACTGCAACAAAACCAGACAAAGTGAACATTTGACTATGTGAGTTAAAAATTGCTAGTGTGGCTAAAAAATTTGCTAGAGTGACTAACTTTAGCTTTGATTTAGTATTAGTGGCACAGTTGTGGCCCATGCATGTCTGAATTCATGATAAATTTTAGTTGCATTATAAGTCTGTAATCTAATTCATATAGGCTTACCTCTATATAAAAAATATAATATGAAACTAATCTACATCAAATCCACAATGGAACCAAAGAATTACAGCACTATTAGAAGCATTTTAAAAAAAGAACAGGGAGAAAAAATTGCTCAATACGTTTTTAAAATTAATGATCCTCAAACTCTCCAGGAATACCTAAAAATTACTTATGAAATTTACCAAGAACGTAAAATACAAAACAATAAACAAACATTAACCCCAACTCATGATAAACCAAGAAAGAAATAAAAACATGAAGAAAACAATTCCAGCAGCCATTGTTGAATGGACTTATATTATTTTAAGATAATAACAATAATTTTTTTCTTTACAAATTTACTTTTACTATAAATTTTTAAAAGCAACAAATAATAGCAATTTTGAAACTCATGGAATGAGTCGGTGGGACCGAGAACATTTTTTGTGTTCTCAATGTGAAGTATTGTCAGATACTAAAGATCATAAGTGCAGCTATTGCGCAAATTGTGGAAGAATAGCTGCAAAAGAAATAGAAAAACATTTTACTTGACAGAATGGTGTGCCAATTTATGCTTGTCAACACAACCCTAATGCACAGCCTGTAATGTGCAACACTTAAAAGATAGAGCTGATGATGGAAAATCATTACTTAAAGCTTTGGTAACTGATTTAGGAAACAGTGTATGAGGCCAAGAGACTTCAAAAATTATGCGTATGGGGTGAACGCAAATTCGTACGTATTGGAATGCTGCTTCAAAGTACACATGGCAAAGCGCCTGCAAACATTATCGATGAGGTATTAACTGCTAGGTATGATTGTTATTTTTCGTTTTTTTTTTTTTGGTTTCGATTTATTTATTGATTTATTTATTCATTTTATTTAACTAATTTTAGGGGTAAGTTTGTCATTTCGATCTCGAAAAGATTACAAACGATAATAATTCGTGTGCAGAATTTTTCAAAATCCACGTGGAATCGTTTTTATATCACCCATCTCCATAATAATAATCTATCAAGGCTTTCTGCATATCGTCATAAGCCTGTTATCACTCTGGATGACAAGCGCGATTTGTGGCCGCTTCATTTCGAAAAAAAAGGCATAGTAATAAGTGGCCTGTTCCTCGCAGAATAACATCCGATTGCAACATCACATATATTCGCAAAACTAATGAATGTAAATTTTCATGGGTTTACGAGACGCAAAACAACTCCGCGGATAGTTCTATTCATGCAGTTTCTATTGACCCTACCCTTCACATGGTACTCTCCTGCCAAAGGTGTAGGTAAAATTGGCCAATACGACATTGGACGAATTATTCGTCTATGCAAGCATACGGATAATCTCCTTTATATAAAGGACAGACTGGCTGCCTCTAGTTCAAAACGTAAGAGAAAGGTCTTGCGACTTGACAAGGCAATCTTTCAGATGCGACGAAAAATCAAACACCTGCAAAGTGAAGTTCATAAAAAGGGCGTCGCATTTTTTACTCGCGAATTTGATTCACTCCTTTTGAGGTGTCGAATATGGTAAATCGAAAAACAAGAAAGATAACACGAAAAACCGTTCGTAAAATGCTGCAACTATCAATTTCGCCAATGTCTGGCGACCAAAGCAGAAGAATTAGGGGTCCGAGATGTACAAGTGCCGAAATTGTGGGACTGTATGGGTCGAGATGAAATGGCGCTCAGGGAATCTTCCTAGGAGTAGTCAATTCATAAGATGTATTTTTGTCATGACCCAATCATAATTTCGTGTTTGGTGCAACGAGCGCAGCGGTATGTCGCGAGCATACTTTTGGTGAAAAACTTTCTAAACACATTAGGCCGATCATGGACAACGAGGAGACTGTGTATATGGACATAGATGATGAATATGAGCTACTAGACATAGCTGCTCAAATCGTTGAGTATCGACGAGATCTTGTCGATAGCCAGCAAACGACCGTATGTATTATACCACGAAACCCGTTCTGGAGATTGAATTAGCTAGTCAATAGTAAACCTTCTACGTCTTTTCTTCCTCCTGCGCTCTTCCCTTCTCTCTTAGCCAGCCGCTAGAATTAAAACATAGTCAAGCGACGTCGCCTTTGTCGACTACAGACATTTCAGATAACCAATTATTATCCTCACAGCTTCCACGATCTACTCGACAATCTACGATCCCAAAAATTCCATCTTTGACTCACCAATTTATCGTAGTGGTCGATACTAATTTCCTCATAAGTCATTTGGCGTTTATTCGAACTTTGATTACCTTGCATGCCAAAAGATACAACATTCTCGTGGTTATTCCATGGGTTGTATTGCAGGAACTGGACGGATTGAAAAGCACACCTAGTAACCGACAGACGTATGCAGCTCAAAATTCAGACGGAAAGCAAGCACCAGATGTAAAGAACCTGGCAAAGAGCGCTATTACGTATTTGCATAGTTGTCTAGAGAACAAAGAGGAATCGTTAAGAGGACAGATGCTCGATGAAACGATCGATGCAGCTAATGTAAGTTAGCAGATTGGGCGACTGGCCAAATTTAGTCAGTTATTAGATTAAGTCAGTTATAACAATAGTATCTGATTTGGATGTAGTTAAACGACGATAAAATTCTTGACTGCTGCCGGTAAGTGAACGCATGCTAAATTTACTCTAGCATTAAATTGATCATTGACACGTTTTAATGTTTTATGCCACAGATATTTCCGGACTGTGTCAAGTTCAAATATCGTTTTGTTATCGAACGACAAAAATCTGTGTGTTAAAGCGATGGTTCACGGTAAGCAATGATGACAGGAATCTGCCTGAAAAGAAAGTATTTAACGTATTTCTCATTTGAGCAGGAATTGGGACGGCCTCTTTTGAAAAGAAGTTTGGATTGGAGAACATCTTGACCAGAATTATTGGAAGTAAACCAGCAGGCGATCGTTCAGTTATTGACTACCGTAATGCAAACACTTTCAGTGGTCAGTATATGGCCGAAGAATTATCGACCCAAAAATCGTCTGATTGGAAGCAGTTTTATCACTTCTAACTGTCATACTAATCGCTCAAATACTAGCTACTCACATGCCTCCTGGTGGTCATATTCTGTCAACTACCAATCTAGCAAAGACTAGTACAACCGACAAGCCATTGCATAAACCTAGCTTGGATATAACCGCTAAGCATCAGGTAGACACTAGGAGAGAATTTGCATACTCACCTGTGATTATTATCAGAGGACACTAAAATTTAAATTATTGAACAGATATTATCATATACTTACAACGAAGATACAGAAATGATGGATTGTGATGATGAAAACGATAACGGCATATTGAAAAACAACAATTACTTGACACTTCAAGGTCCCGATTCCTCTTCTCACAATATAATTGTTGGCGATATACATAAGACAACGTCCAATGAGATTGCAGCAACCGTTCCCATATACCTGTCGAATTATCCTAATAACCAGCCGTCACCAGTATACATTCATCTCAATTCGTCTCCATCGGCCGCAGATTCTAGTATGCATGACACAAAAAAGCTTCAATCTTCCTCGCTATATGACTCGATCCATTCACCAAAGAATCGACGGAAGTCTTCAGCTTCTGTGAATTTAGATATAGATATGTTAGACACTCAATCCAACAGCCGAGCTAACGTCCAGTTTATCACGGGCCAATCTCCGACCGGTCTTCTCTCACTTTCCGATTCCATCCATGCCATGCACACCCAGTTTTCCCAGTCTAGTGCATACGTATCTCAGATAGCCTCGAGCTCGTCTTACGTCCAGCTATCCTTTCCTGGACAACCCATCCCAAATCAACCATTTCTTACGGAACATGTCGCGTCCACTCCTCTAACGATCGGTCAGCTAAGTTATTTGGAAACCATTCTCCCAACGATCGCAGACTTTCTTCGCCCGGCAGTACAATCCTATTTATTACAATACCTTGGCTCAGATTATCTACAAACCATAAAGGAGCGTCAACCATGGACCGCTCAAGCTGCATTGCGGATTATGGCAAGGTGTTATTTTTCTGTGTTTTCTGACGTATTCAAGCCGAGTAAAGGTCTTACATTTATAGAACAAATGCTGAAAGTAACTAATTCTGTGGCTAAGAAGCGAATCATCACTGTGGGTGAACTATGGACATTTTTTAATGCTGCAGAAATAGTGATAATAATGTTGAATCGAGAGTCGGATGGGAAGAATGGTAGTGAGCATACAAATAAGGCGGAGGTTATTAGAGACATGAGGAGGAAGTTTTTAGATACAATTGACGGGATAGCAGCTCGAGCAATTCATTCGACACCACCAAAGTAGCAGAATTCTCTGGACTGTTAATTAAGGCGTGGTGATGGAAGAGGTAGAATCGAAGTCAGCTCAAATAATAATTAGATGCTACAAACATAAAATACAGAGGTGTCTTTGTTCTGCAAGACATTGGTAACCAATGAAAGCATACGTTTGTCTATTCCATCTTTATTGGCATGATATCCGATACATTTTCACATATGTGTACAATTAAATTGTGACAAACAGCATACTAACTCTAATCTATTAACTTTCTATTGTCTCACATTTTGTCTCATCATTGCGCACGCGATCGATACATATTTAAAACATCTCGTGCGACAGCGATGTGCCTCGCAAAATCCCTAATGTCATGTCTCTCTTTCCTTTTAAGCTTATCCCAGACATCAACAAAGTTATCTAGCGCATCCAAAATAGCCGATTTGGTCTCGTCCGATATACTGCCTCCCATTTCTTTACAAAGAGCCGATACACATCCACGGGCAATTAGATATTTAATATGCTCACCATCTACATTCCGAGCTATCACACAGACAGCATTACATATGAGGTCTCGAAGTTCATCTTGGTAGTCCGGTAATTCGTAACGATTTTCGAGAATGTCAATTAAATAAGGGACAGCATTAGCTCGAATTATCGCCTGCACCTGGTATATTGAACCAGCGGATGCTAGCTTGCAGATAATTTTGTATGCAGTTTCTTGCAGCTTTGGGCGTGTTAACGGGTGAATGAGACCCAAAAGAGTAGATAGGCAACCGCAATTAATGATTGTTTGACGTGTCTCAAGTGTTCCTGCTGATAGATTGTAAATACACTCGCCAACTTTCTCTTGAACGACATCGTTCCTATATGGAAATTGTGTGTTAATAAACGGTTACGGAAAAGAAATAGAAATAATGCAAACTATGCTCACTGAAGTAACTGAACAAGCCGTCGACATATTCCATATTGTATGAAGAATGAATGTTCTTGTTTGTGTTTAGATAATGAACACAATCCAGTTGTTATGTGCTTCAGCACTTCATCATCTTCAGTATATATATGTGATGCGAGGAAGTGATGTAATTTCGCCAGATCATAAGCCTACTTTGCATTATCAACCATAACAACCCATAAACAATTACGGCGTAAATAACGGACACTCGGTTGATATAAAGCGTAAAAAGACTACGCTTACAATAATAAACATCCACTCGGGTTTAACGACAGTCGTTGCACTTGCTAGCGCATAAGATATTCCTCGGAGGAGAGGTAAGTCAAGAGAATCTTTTGTGAAAGACAACAAAGGACTCAAATCATCAGGGAGGAAACTATATCTTCCCATTCCGTAGTCACACCATTGATAAATTCGACCAAGAGCAAAGAGAGCCTATTGCAAACAATCACAGTCAACATGGTAAACATTCGTATTCGCGATGAACGAACATACCGTGATAGATAATATGTACCTTCTCTTGTACTCGTGGGGAAGTGTGATCGAGACACTCTATCAACGCCGACTTGGCATTTGCTTGCAATACTAAACGTGTCCGCGCTCTAGAAGTACAAATGTTGCCTAATACTTCAGCAGCAAGGTACTAATCACAAGAATGGCAATCAAATAGTCAGGAACAATTATGACGAAACTGAGCCATTCAGTCTTAATTACTTACTACGAGCCCAATATTCTTCGAGCGTAACGACCCAACTAACCTAGGCAAACAACCTAGATTTATAACTTTACAGGCAATCTGTGAATGGCTCTCCCAGCAACTTGAATTTCTGGTCATAAAAGCTACAGCTTCGGTTGCTCGTATTTGATCGATATATTGGTCAGAGAACAGTTTCATGATGGTCTTTTCGTCTCCGCCTTCATTTAGTCCGTATTTGCCTCTGCGTTGTTGTCGCTATTAAAAAGAATATACAAATACATGTTGATGTTGCGCAACTACTTGTTGGAAGAAGAATTTCAGCTGACCCAAAGTCTAATTACAAGGGCGAGGTAGATGCATATGAGATTTCCAAAAGACAGAGACTAACACTCCTATCCTTATCTCTGCTTGTTGTCCCATCTCCTTCACAGGCTGCTGTCGATGCTTCAAGGCTTCTTACGAATTCACCAGCCGTTCTTGGCGTATAAGATTTCGTTCGTGGCATTGACCCTGTGCACTTAGTTCAGGCAGCTAGCAAGTACGGTTCGCCATGTAATGTGGCTGATTGTTGTATGGTGCTCGATGTAGTAATGCGCGAATGTGGCTCAAATAATAGAATGCAATGTGCAGTTCTTTCCTTTACAAGACACACATAACATAAAGTCTATATTAATATGCCAATTATTAAATGACTATATTAAAGCACTTTGTATGTGGTTATTACATCTACGAGAATTTGGATAAACTTAAGACTTAATGCATGACGCTAACGCCAGCTTGTACTTGTATTATCTCGCTTCTCCGTGCAAAATCATTAACTGTTGAAAGAAAGCTGATCAAACGGATCATTTCGAATCTACATCTTCTTAAGACATGCTATCGTCAGAAGAAGCAGGAGCTATTCAGGATTACAGTCATTACAGTCAGACTTTTGCTGATGAATAGTTCATACTATTCGCCAAGACGTCCGATTCTGTTTACCTAATTTGTGAAAGGGAACCTTGGTATCGCGCCGTTACCACGGTCGTTGACCTACCCACATGCACAATAGAATAACAAGCAAGAATACTATCACAAAGCTGTTGCGTACAGACCTTTCGAAAACGTCCACAGCAGACGGTCCCCCGTATACCAGGTTGGTCACCTAACTGGCAACTTGCCGTTTTCAATTTCTGATTACTCAGACAGACTCAATAAGGAACTACCTTAAAATGAATCTTCTTCGTTTTCGCGTTTGTTGAAAAGGTGTGTGAAAAGTGTATGGGAAAAAGTACTTTAAAGCAAGAAAGTTGGTACCGCGGTAACTTGTACTGACCCGGGTACGTCTCACTGAGGTTACGGATGAAGTTGAACCAACTTTCTAATTTTAGACAATTCTCGAACAAAACTTGCCATTGGTCCTGTTGTCTTTTAGTCTAGTCTCCGGAGGGTTAGAATTATCTGCATTACCGTTAATGAATAGCATATATAATAGTTAGAAATAATTTTGCGCATAAGAAAAGAATCAATTTCGGTACCTATTGAAAGCTCTGCTTTTTAAGCACGCGTTTTTTAGTGTTACGCGATATAAATAAGTAATAACTAAATGTAATAATAACGATAAGTGTCTAGTATTAAAAATACGAACAGCATGCTACAACTTACTGTTGTTGAAAGACGAATTAGGCGCGCCATCTTCGAGTGAATAACTTTTTGATTATGGATATGGATATTGTGTATCTTATATTAACTTTAGGGGTCCCTTTTTTCGTTTGGGCCAGAGAATGAAATATTACAGAAAGAGCACAAGCACGAGAATCTCTTTATATAAAATTTCCACATCATCTATTGAAGTTCTATACATGCCACTATATTAAAATAGTAATAACAATAATAAGCACTCAGAGCACATGATGTATAAAATTACGTCAGCATAACGAAGAAGCCTATCAACATTGCACTTTGACATGAAAAAAAAAAGATATTTGCGAGAAATCAATTGTCGCGCGCGTCAATTTATAAAGTCGTTATTGTGTTGGTGGCGCAACATGTTACAAGTATGATGGGTATATTCAAACAGGGTGAAAACGGTAGTTGGCAAGCGGATGATGATAAACTATTTTACAATACTAATAATACGCTCACAAATTCTGTATTTATTCTAATGTCTGTTATTTACTCTATTTAGATTTACTCTAATTATTCAGCTTTGAGTTTATCTTGACTTCTGAAAGCTTGCCACAATTGCTTATTAGTAACTTTTGACTGACAACATTACATTGTTCTGCCATTTGAATCACGTCCTGCAAATTAAAAAAGGTTGCATTTTGTTGAGGAGTGACTGAATCTTTAATTTGATTTAATTGAAACTTTAGGGCAGAAAATATGAGTGCTTTAATAAATAAAATACTTCTCATTCTTTTATACTACAATAACAATAGACCATATAATATAAATTGAATAATGTTAAAGCAGACCCTAGTACTAGCCAGAATGAAACAGTGTTATGATTGCAGACCAGTCATGCTGAGAGAACATTTGTAAAATATGGTCTTGATTAGTTGCCTAAAATAAAGAGGGTTGGCCATTTTCCTCAGACATATCAACTAATATTAATATCCTAGCCACATCTTAATCTGCTGTTATTATCATATGTAATCTTCACTTTGGTTTTGTACTATAGCATGTCACATACAGATAAAACTACATTCATTTGTTGTTTATCATCATTGACCTCTACAAAGTGAGAGAATTGGCAATGTGATTGCAAATACAAATTCTCTTACTATATTAAAAAAAGAGCTCTTCTTCTGGGCGTGGTAAACTTTTTTGCACGAGGATGTAGTGATCCATAATAATAAACCAAAAATAAGGATGCATTTGAACAACTTGGTCTCAAGTCTCCTATAACACCCATTTTTTGAGTTCCCATTCGTTCTGCTCGCTCAATACGTTCTGCCCGCTTAATTCTTATTTCCGACACATTGTTTGATGCAATACATTTTATTTGGGTGCAAGTTTGATTTAACTACTGTCGGACCTGAGAGTTGAATTCCAAATAATATAAGAGTCACATAAGAACTGTCCATTTATCTTTAGCCGTCAATTGCCTGACCCACAGTAGCTGGTGAGTCTATTTCGAAAGAGGATGTTCATGCAAATCATGGTCACTGATTCAACTTTGATCAATCGTTGAACGCGCAAGTCAGGCGGCGTCTTTTCCAAAATCAAATTCCGACCATAAATAACAGACATACATGGTGAATTACATGTTCTGCACGACTGAGCAGGAACCTGTCCATGCACTACCTTAGCTGACCGTTCTATGTCTGTTCCTAGGATCCTTACATGCAACCAATGCAACAACACCAACGTCAAGAACAGCACTTACCGACTGAAGACTGTGGCGCCGAGGAAATTACCGCTCCATTGGTATTTCAATGCGTTAAATGTAGACTTATCGTTGGTGACTCATTTGCTTGGGTCAATGCGGACAAAGACTTACGAAGTGTTGTTCTACATGGTAGATATACTTACAATTTAACTGAATAATGTTTACGCGCTAAAGTATCGTTATTGACGATTGATTCCATCAGCTAAACCAGCTAATATTAGAGTTGGCACTGAGGTCGAATGGTCACGGGGAGGGATTGATTTGGGAAGGTATTTTGTATTCATATACTTTCAAAGTGATCATTATCATTTACCATTGTATTGATACATTAACCCGTGTTCCCCCACAGCACGTACGTATTGACATATTGCCATGGTTGTGGCAATGTGCTTGGGAAAGTCTATCACACAACACCACGCAAATTTGATTATATTCGGTGAGATGTTCGCCAGTCATTGATGGTTGTTTTATCCAAGAAAATAAACGTTGTACTCGTTTATTGATAAGAATCTTTCGTTCTTCAGTGATCTCATTATGATCGATTTAGATCAAGTAACAACGTGAGTGATTGTTTTCTCTCATCATTGTTTTACTTGCCTATGTAGAGAATTGACGGTATATACTAATACAATATAGCTACCAACTTGGGCAATACCTCAATGACGGAGCTGTCCCGGCAGACCTTATAAGTATGCCCAATGCAAAAATGCTTCAACTATCAGTCGATATGGTAAATAAATAGTATTGCTCCTTCATAGAACAAGAACTCGGTTTTGTAAATGAAGTATTCATAACTATAGATGATGCATACATATTAACATGTATCTTCTTTCACAGGTCAAAGATGTTTTACTGGTGATGCATGATCGATTATCGAACATGGAGCATAAATTAGGCCAATCCTCAAGTATGGGTGCCGAGAGTGAATTAAGAGATTTGGGTTTGTAATAATTTAATAATTCTTTTTTGTGATGAAAATTAATTTTAAATAAAACAATTTATTAAGTAAATTAAAACAAGAAAAGTAATAACAGTAGACCAGTAACGCATAGTAATGAAGAGAATCACGACAGAGTCTTTACCCAATAAATAGTAGCGTGTATAACGTTAGTAAATAGGGAAAGAGTTAATCGTAGCAAAGTTCATTAATAGCTGTCTTGTAAGACTTTATTCGATAATAAAAACAACTAACCCATCTTGTACTAATCAGAAGCTGGTTCAACATCATCCGAGATATATACAAGACGACGCTCCTCAGTCAAGCTCAAAATCTCTCCATATTCAATGCAGCAAAGAACGCCATAAACCTAACGTTCATTACGATCGATTGTTGCGGGAGCTTGATATCACATGAAGTATACGACGAGGGGTTATACACACTATGTTCTGGATAATTCAGTCTGATAAATGAAGTACTTTGTCAGTTGCTGGCGCTGTGATGATTTCTCTTCATCTAATTAACTCTTATTCGACATTCCATTTACCTTTAGGATATTTTCAAGAGAGATACAAGTGCAGACTTTTTATTTACACAAATGTTTAGATGTTTCTACGGTGAAACTTTGCTGTTTTCTTTACTGTCGTCTGTAATTCTTATTATAGGACCCCCGTATTACGAGTAGCAACATTTCGATGTTACGCCCTAGTATCACTTAATAAATTGCTATGACGTTCCTTCGGAATTTTCCTATCCTGATTTCTTTCGATGGAATTTGAGTGAGCATTCCAAAGAGTAAGTTGGTGCAACGACTAGTGAGTATATTTGGGTTAAAATACTTTAACAATGCTGACTCACGTGCTAGAAAACATAGCTCACACCTTTATAGTAATAACAATGTTTGTGAATAAAAAGTCCCTCGCGATAGTAATAACAATGAAATTGTTATCAAAGCATATTAATATAGACACAGCCTACTTAATATTAATAAAACTGCGATGCCAAACCAATCTTAACTCCGAGTCTGTTATACTATTTTGTCCGTTTACGTTAAATAGTTGAGCTGTCATATTGACAACCTGATAACTTGGTGGTAATTCAATTGTTGATAGAGACTTATCACCGTAGAATGTTGGTAAAGAAGTAAAGTAAAATAAATTACTCCCTTTACTTTAATTTTATCACGGAAATCATT